TGCAGTCTGCAGAAGAAAGATTTTCACGCTATTGTGGAGTGTCTGCGGTGACCACTCAGCTTCCTAAGTGGAGAATGATCTATCCGCCTCTAAAGGGACTTTCTAGAATCGCCACTTGCAAAGCCACATTTCAAATCATTTGCTCTGCTTTATACTACGCTCTACAGAGTGGTACATCTGTTAAATCACGCGCTCAAGATGGCGTTCTCATAAGTGCATTGCACTTACTCTCGCTATCATTGGATATTTGCACTCAGCAAAGGGGATCTAATATTCAGGATTGTTGTGTAGAAGATTCGATTCCGATTCTCGAATTAGCTGGTCTAGAAATAATTGGTATAAATCAAGGGACTGGAAAAGAAAGTTTGTTGTCTCTTCTTGTTTCATTAATGAGGACCCGTAAAGAAGATGGTCTCCATCAATTTCCAGAGGCAGGCAGTTGTAATATTTCGTCGTGGATTGGAAACTTGCTGAAGAAGTTCAGTGAAATTGATTCTGTTTGTATGAACCTATTGCAAAGCCTTGCCCCGGAGGTGGTCGGTCACGTTGGCTTTGATAAAGCCACATCGGGCTCTGCTTTGGATGACAAACGCAAGGCTAAAGCTAGAGAGAGGCAGGCTGCTATTCTGGTAAGATTTTTAAGTTTCAAATCTATGTCTCCGGATGTTTATTAACAGGAAGCTTGCTGGTAGTAATATATTTTTATTTTTGGTTTAAGACAGTCTAGATCGTTTAAATGTTCATTGTTCAACTTGTTATCTACAGTAATAATTGATAAGATCCAGTATAAACTAGTTATGGTTATTCTAACTTGGATGCAGGCAAAAATGAAAGCTGAGCAATCAAAATTCTTGTCTACCTTGAGTTCCAGCATGGATGATGATGATCCAAGATCTGAAACTGAAACAAGTGATTCCGTAATGGAACAGGATTCAGAAACTGCTATTCGTGAAGTTTGCTCCTTCTGCCATGACCCTGATTCCAAAGACTCGGTTTCTTTCTTGATTTTCCTCCAGGTTAGTAGCATGGATGATGCTATTAGTTGTGATTTTTAATGTTAAATAAACGTATACTCTGAGGATATTTTGTTTTGTATCATTATTAATAATTTCTTTTCCTACCTGCAGAAATCTAAACTTTTGAGTTTTGTGGATAGAGGCCCTCCATCTTGGGATCAATGTTCGCAATCTGAAAAGAAGATACCCATGGATGAAGCTCCCGATCTCCAGAGAATAAATGTTTCCTCAGATAGTGTAAGAATGATTCCTCATGTGCTGCAATTGTCAGATGATGGAACCTCCGAGTCTGCTACAGATTCTGTACTTGAGGCTTTAACAGCCCGGCTTATAAGGAATGGTCAGAAGGAGAAGAGGTCTAGCGATGGGAGGGGAAAAGATGACTCTAACTTGGAATCATTGGAGATAGCTATGTATCAAACTGTTTGCAGAAAAATTGAAAACATGAAAAATCAAAGCCTCCTTACACATGTAAATCATCGACTGCCTGATTCTGAAAGTAGTTTGGAGGGAAGTTCCGTCGGTGGTCTATCTACTTTGCATAGGTATCAAGATATTCGATCACAACAAGCCTCCAGATATGTGGATGTCAGTTCAGATGGGTTTCACCCTACCGACTGTGATGGGGTTTATCTTTCATCATGTGGACATGCTGTGCATCAAAGTTGTCTTGAACGATATTTAACCTCGTTAAAGGAAAGGTGAGCTATGGTGAACCCTTTTTCATTCATGTTGATATCTATGTCCCACCTGTTGCTGGCTTGATTTACAGTTCTGATGCTAACGTTGCATTTAAAAACTGTTTTTTTTTGTTTGGATGAATGGTGTAGGTCTGACAGAAGAAATGTTTTCGAAGGTGCACATATTGTGGATCTAGTACAGGTATTTATATGACCAGTTTAGAGATATTTTCTGGGGATTTAATGTGCTCCTTCTGAAGCTTTCATCATTGTTTCTTTTTCAGGGAGAATTTCTCTGTCCTGCATGCCGCCGATTAGCTAATTCTGTGTTACCTGCATGTCCTGGAGATATATGTTCTGTCTCAAAGCTACAAGAGAGTCCGCATGCTAAGTTAGGTAGATCAGATGAAGAGGTGCCTTCTCTTTGGCTCTCTGAAGCGTTGTGTCTACTACAGTCTGCTGCTGACGTGATCGAAGATGGTGATAGTGTTAAAACAGTTTCTCTGCAGGGAGATGAGCCAAGAAGAAAAGATCTTCAATCTGTCTCCAACAAGCTCTGGAATTTCTATTTTGCTAAGCGACAGGAACAACCTCCGGGAAGTTCTTGGCTACTACAATCGACCATCATGTGGGACACCCTTATGTACTCTGTAATATCAATGGAAATTGTTACTCGCTGTGCGAAGAATTCAATGCTTCCGGTCTATTGTATTGACTCCTTGTATGAAGAGTTGAAGACCTCTAAGGGAATTGCTTTGTCACTCTTATTACGAGTGGTACAGAGCACCCGAACAAAGAATGCTCTACATGTTCGTCAGAGATTTATGGGTATGAAGCATCTTGCGGAGTCTATATGCTCTGGAATTTCAAGTAGTTCTTCAAGCAGCATATTTGGAAGTGAAGGTACTTTATTTCCAATTAGAGAATCAATTACATGGCCTCTGTGCGTTCTTACTGATATTAGTTTGGACTAGGTTTAGTCTCTCTACAGTTTCACTATTAATTATCAACGAGTAACTTGCTAACTGTAGATGATGTTTTTTGCTAAATCTGAGAATTTTCAGGCACAGGAGGTTCGTGGAAGAATATAAACCTGCTCTGGAGTCGAGCATCTGATCCAGTTCTTGCCCATGACCCATTTTCATCACTGATGTGGGCTGTCTTTTGTCTCCCATCTCCTTTCATCACATGCGAGCAATCTCTATTATCACTTGTGCATATTTTCTACAGTGTCTCTGTTATTCAGGTATGCCACATTGTTTCTGTGTAGACTAGTTTTGCCTTTTTAAGACTCACTACTCCTGATCATGTTTTTTTCTTTGGGTGCAGACTGTGATTACCTATTGTGCAGGTCGCCTGTGTTACACTAGTCAGTTAGAGTTCAAGGAAAATCTGCTTAGCGACATCTCCATAGCTTTGAGAGAATCAGGTGGTTGGGAGTATTTAAGGTCTAACAATATGGATTTATCATGTGACATAAAGGAGACGATCCGTAAATATAGTCTTCCTTTCTTGAGGAGATGTGCCTTGTTGTGGAAGCTACTGAGAACTACGCCTGGGAAGTTTCATGAAGAGGTACACATGTTTAATGTGCCATCTGACACCAACAGCGACTATATGGATTTCATGTATACTCCTCAATCTGAGCTGAATCATGTGCATGAATTGGAGAAAATGTTCAAGATTCCGCCCGTGGATACCATTATCAATGATGAACTTCTCTGGTCTTCATCGCAAACATGGCTTCGACATTTCCAGATGGAATATAGAGTTAACAGAGTTAAAGGGCCCCTTTGCATAACCCCTGTAGTTCCTTTCCAGCTTATGAAATTGCCCAATTTATACCAGGACCTCTTGCAAAGGTTTGCAGCAGCGTCTCTCTCTCTTTGGTTTTGTACAAATTTACTTCCCTTTCAATGAGAGAACTTCTCTAATCAAGAACCATATTTTAATTCATATTATTACTAGGTACATCAAAAAACCTTGCAGCAACTGCACTAAAGTCATCGAAGAACCTGCATTATGTCTCCTCTGTGGAAGATTGTGTTCTCCTATATGGAGACCTTGTTGCAGGTATTTTCTTCACTTTCACTAGTCTCAAAATATCACACGGTTATTGTTTTTTTTCCAGAAACCAGTTAAACACGTTCCAACATATTTTTACAGAGAAAGTGGTTGTCAGACTCATGCAATAACCTGTGGTGCTGGTACTGGTGTATATCTTCTGATACGGGTATGGCTTCTCTTGTGACAATATATTGCATGCGTATGTATGGTGTTTGCATCATTATTGGGGTTTTAAATTGATTATTATCATTCTTCATTTTTTCAATAGCGGACCACAATTTTGCTACAAAGATTTGCAAGACAATCACCTTGGCCATCTCCTTATTTGGATACATTTGGGGAAGAGGTAGGCCTTGCAAAAAAAAAAAAAAAAAATCGAATAAGTTTGATTGGTATGATCTTTGTTGGATTTAGATGTTTGCACCATTGATTTTTTTTTTTGTTCCAGGATATCGATATGATGAGAGGAAAGCCACTATACCTGAATGAAGAACGTTATGCTGCATTAACTTACATGGTAAGAGTAACAGATAGTGAATCAATAAGAGGAACACGTTTTGCATGGATGGTAACATCAGTGTTGTGCTTTGTTGTCAGGTTGGTTCTCATGGACTCGATCACAGCTCGAAAGTTCTCAACCAAACCACAATCGGAGCCTTCTTAACTTAAAAAGGTCTTCGTTCTCTTTCTATCTTTCTCTCCTCAGGGATGTTCTTTGTGTAGATTATGCTTTTAAATCATCATCATCATCATCTTTTAAGATCCTAAAGATTTTAGAGATTTCCTTAAAAAATTCTGTCACGTTGTTTGGTTGATTTCTTTATTTGTGGAGATGACATTATCACGTTTGTAAATAAAAAGTATTTTCTTTGCGGTTCAGTAGCGTTCTTTTGCTCAATATGGTCTGACAAATCTCCAAAATTTCCTGAACATAATTCATCATAAAATAAGAGTAAGATGAATATGATGATCAGCCTTGGAGGTGGGTGAAGATGACTTTTCTTCTCAAAAAGCCCTTTCTGAGATTAATTCATAGCGTCAAGTAAGATTGACTTCACCTCAGACAGATACATTTGTTCAAAAGAGCCACTGAAGGTTGATTTCTCTAGAAGTCTCTGTTTCTTTCTCAACAACGACTCCTTAGTTGTTATTTCTAACAAACAACAATCAGTTTGGTTTGAGGAGCTTTGGGTTTGAGGAGCTTATATGTTGCGAGTTTTTCATTAGTGAGTCATGGGTTGATCTTGATTGTCTACTGAGCTAGAAAGAAATAAGCAACCTTTAAAAAGTTGTGACTGAAACTTCAATTACAACAAACCCCCATAAGACATGCATGCAGAGATATATCTTATGACCAAACCATAAGAACACACAAAAGAAGACGAAAGACAACAGGACTTACATCGCTGGCCAAACAACCAGCAAAACCAGCCATTATTACATATAACCAGACATAACATAACATTAGGTTTTACTGCAGACACTTAGGGTTTATGGCGTTGTTCATTTACAGGTGCAAGGGTTGTCACACTTGCAGTCAGATCCGCACTTGCAACCATCATTCTCGGCGACGAAAGTCTCGCCGGATGCCTCGTACTGAGAGTTCATCGACGGAGCAAGGCCGAGGATAAGAGTCTCGGTGGTGGTAGTCTCGCCGGAGAAGCCCAAGTCTGGGTACATTTTGCAACTGCACAAAGTGAGGGAAAAAAAACAAAGATCGTTTATCGACACAATGATTTTTACAAGAAATGAAAACACCAAGAGGGGCTCTCACAAACCGATGCATGAAGCAGAATTTTTGTAGGGATAATATTTACAAAAAAAAAAAAAAAAGACGAGGGAGAGAGGGGAGGGGAGGGATATTACCCTTTGCAGCCATCGCACTTGCAGTCGGATCCGCAGCTACAGTTTCCTCCACAGCAAGACATCTTCTCTGAGAAATATATAAGATGTGTTTAATTTGGCTTTGAGAGATTCTGAGATAACGAGGAGGAACTCATGATCCCATATATATGGAGAATGAGAGATTACGGACCCTCCACCTGTCAAGACTTTTAGTCAACTCTTATCACCTAAATAATCGTTCCAGTATTCATTTCTGTTTTTTACTTTCCTTCTTTTTCCAACAACAGAATTATTGATTTTTTTTTTTCTTAGAATGAAGATGTTAACATGACAAGTCGTTTCCACTGAAAATGAAGTCAAACTCCATCACTAAAGTTCGTGTAATTGATTTCGACAAGATTTTTTTTTTATCAAATTACCATCACCTCATTAAAGAAAATCTAATTAAATAGGAAATTATCTCTTTGTCAAAGGGTGTCTGAAATTTTGAATATAAATTAAGAAAATAATTGAAATACATTTATATTCTTATTAATTTTATTTATTGAGATATTGCACTCCCTACACACAACTAATACCTTATTTGCACTAATACCCTCTATTTAACATAAATAAATTATTTATAAGATCAATGCATCAATATTGATATAGTAGAATCTCTATAAATTAATATTCGACAAATTAATAATTTTTATAAATTAATAAATTTAACCGGTCCAAATTTGGACTGTTTTAAATTTTAGCACACAAATCAATAAAATAATAAGATAATATTTTTTAGAAAATTCTCTATAAATATATGACCCATTATAATTAATAATTTCTATGTATACCTATTTTATATAAGTAAGAATCTATTATTATAATTGTTTGTTTTATATTCACAATGAAATTATTTTTATATTTTCTTAACATTTAATATATTTTAGATGAGATTTAGTAATATTATATCTAAACCTACATTTTAATTCTATGCAATATAGATTATATACTCGAAATAATATAAATGTCAAATTTCTAAAAATAATAAATAATGTTTATACACTAAAATCAAATATTTTATTTTATTTTATTTTAGAAGAAATATATCTTAACATGAGAAATTAAAAAAAAATGTAATTAATATCTCTATAAATTAATAAAATTTCAAAATTCCAACATTATTAATTTATAAAAGTTCTGTTATTAAGTTTGAATTAAATATAAATTATATTTAAATTTTAAAATAGCACTCTTTGTTTAACAGAATATGTTAAAATGGATCTTTTAATAAAATAGAGGGAGTATAACTCTGCCGGAACATTAAAAAAACTCAAACTTGAAAACTATCCCACCGGCCCCCACCATAGAACATTAGAACAGCTTTTCACTCCTCCATGATGCATCTACTTAATATTTTGGATTTTGTGACTGATTTTCTAAGATATAATATATAGTTTATCATTTGTTGATTTATCAAAAATTTGGATTAGCTTAACTACATTGGTCAGGATGTTGGAAAAGAAATTGGTATTCCAAAGTTTGGCTTGGATGACTTTTGACAAAGTTAAGTGAAAGTACAAAAGAAAAGATGAGGCAAGTTGGAGTGGGCTACCAAAAGAAATTGACGGTGTCCATTGTATGTGATTATCCGAATCAACTCTGTAGAAAAAGATAAAGGTAAAATTAAGAGGACCATCCATATGGATATAGTGCAGTGTCGACAGGTCGAACTCTATAATGATTGTGTTTTGCTTTCTTTACATTGGATTGTGTTTTTGCTTTTCTCGTGATAAGAAAGTTACGTAAGATAACCATAAGAAGGAAAATATGTTTAGAATGTCTTTTTTTTTTTTGAAAGCTAATTTTCATAAAATGCTTAGAATTTTAGACCATCATTAATCTCAGTCTTCTAACTAAAATTCTTAGAGCATCAGTAGCGTTTGAGTTTTTCTAGCACACATTCTTATGCTTTATATTAGGGCATCTCAAACCCAACTTCATTTTTTACTTCAAAATAGAGTAAAAGTGATTATGAAGTAAAAAATGTTCCAACCCCACTTCATTTCTTACTCCATAATGAAATTTACTACATAAATGGAGTAATCTACTTTTTGTTTGTTCACTACTCCATTATGGAGTTACAAATAGAGTGGGGTTGAAACATTTTTACTCCATAATCACTTTTACTCCATTTTGGAGGAAAAAATGGAGTTTTACATTGGAGATGCTCTTAGTACTAGATATGGACTAGTACGTTGCACAAATTTCAATTGATGTTTTAATTTTATGAATAACATAAAAATGAGAAAAATGCAATAAATTAGAAAGTTGAATCAAGGCAATCGAATTAGTGATAATATATATATACTTTATAGAATTTCTCTAACTTAAAAAAATATAGTGAATAAAATTACATCTCTATATTTAGAGACAAAATAGTCTTACTCTATATTTCTATAAAAAAAAAACAAACTCCATTACCAAATCACACAATTAAGAAAATCTACCTTTATAATATAATTTCACTATTTCAAAAGAAAATATAGATGAATTGGAAATTATCTTATTTGTTTAACTAAGGAAAACATTGGATCAACATTTTTATCATGTAGTCTATTGGCAATGAGACTATTAATACATTATGCATTTCAATACTAATTTAATTCTTGTAACCACAAACATGTATGATGTGAAGACCATGTTTTTGAATTCTTATTGTCTAAATAACTATTTATGAATAGAATTTACTAATTAAAGTTTTATGGCGACCAAAGCTATAATAAATAATAAATTGTATTAGTGTATGTTGTAATAGAGCTGAAATCTCAATCATTAAGAAGTTATTGTAATTTCATATCTAATATACGAATTTCAGTATAGATATATATTCGATTCTCATTTTTTGTAATCTTTTCACTCTAGATTTATATATATAGAAATAACATTTTCAAGAAAAAGAAATATGTATCTAACCTAAATTATAATTTTTGCATTAAAAACAAATTAGTTACATAATTATAACTATATATAATATTTTTAATAATGAAAAAGATAAAAAAACTCCTATTCGTTATCTATTATTTTCAAAATAATTTTCTCCTCACTTTTTTGTAAAAATAAAGTCATTCTTATATTAAACTGGTTCAGTTTGTGAATTTATTGTTTCTTGATGCTACATATCCATTATAACAACTTAAAATAAAAATGAAATATAAGAAAATATTGCATAGTTAAATTCAGAAAATTTAATAAAATAATATAGGAAATTAGATTTTTTTTACCAAATACATATAAAGATCTATTACACGGAGACAATTAAAATATAAAACAATAATAATAAATTTTAATAACCAAACACCTAAAAATATTAGATACTAGGGCCGGCCCGCCCTACGGGCGAGATATACTTCATCTATGATTTAAATTATTATATTTTATATAATTTTATGGTTTTTTGTTTTAGATTAACATTTTCAAAAATTGTGTAAGATATATTATTTTATTAATTTAAATTGATAGTTTGTTCGTAAGTAACTTTTTTTTTGATTTTTTTGATTCTGAGTTAAATAATTTGTATTTAACAACTAACTAATGTATATGACTCTTTTTAAATTTCTCGCCAGCCATAAGACTTTTGCATAATTTTATAAAAAAAAAGTTTCAACTTTGATGAGAAAATGACAATCAAAACATTAACCATTTAGATCTTATTTATTAAATTTATTGTTGGATGATACTTGGTCTTGATAAAATAAATGCTATTGTTTGTTATAAACAAATATTAACATCTCTTTACCATTTATTGCTTGGTCTTAACGCTTAAACATAGGATCTTAATTCTTACTCTTAAACATAATTGCTTATATGTTCTATTCGAGATCAGCTACCAAGATGTTTTTGTTGTCAAAATTTAAAGGATTCACTGTTAGAAATTGGTACTATTTATATTTTCATTACCGAAATACCAAAAATTTTACATGGTTTGCAGAGATTTTAAATCTATTTATGTAGCATAAACTATGTCTTTGTTTTTAACATTTATGTATATTTTTGTTAGAAAAATATTGCTGTAAAGAATTTTCATTTTTAGTCATTTTAGTGTTTTAAATTTTATTTATATAGGTAAGAAAAATATTTACAACCAAATCAATTGGAATAAATCTCTTATAAGTAGTTCAGTTTATAAGTAGTGTTCTAAAAATATTTGGTAATTTTAAAATTAAAAGTTGGTAATTTGTTGGTTATGTTTCGGTTATGTTTGATATTTTTGGCTCTAGAGATAAATAAACCCTTCGACATTAGTATTTTTTTAATAAAATTTATAATGCTATTCCTCTGACCTGTTGTTTGCATCATCTTGTTTTACATGACTGGATTTGAATTCTCAAATCTCTCATTTGCTTACCTTCATGTGTATGACAATTTTCTTTGTTTCAGAGCCGTATGTGAAGCTAATTCGGCTCAAAACTGGCCAATGTCATGAGTTAAAGATATCGGTATAGAGAGGTTTTAATAGTTGATATCATCTAGGTACTCTTCTAAGTAGAACATATATGCCGAGCACATTTTCTCCTGCCACTTAGCTAGTTAACTCTCTTTATAAGTATCCAGTGAAATAAAACAAACCAATAAGATGAAATCATTATATTAAAACGGGTTTTCCCAGAATCATTAACTGCATGATATTGTTTCCTATTACAGATTTCATTAATTAATAACAAACCAATAAGATGAAATCATTGTATTAAAATGGGTTTTCCCAGAATCATTAACTGCATTATATTGTTTCATAATGCAGATTTCATTAATTAATAAACTTAAATATTTGACCCAAAAAAAATAAACTTAAATATTAATGGCAGTCAATACTTAAGAAAAATCAAGGAGATCTTTTAAAAAAATGCAAGTATACATACACTGTTGGTCCATCAACATATTTGAGAAGAAAGGATCTGAAACAGCCTCTTTCGATGATTTATACATAAATCATAGGTGAAGGAAAACTCTGAGGCATGGGCAGGTGGAGGTACTGCTTTCTTTCTCCCTCTTTGGACCTTTCTTGCAGGAGCTTTTAGGACATCACTTTTATCTTTTCTTGCCCCATCAGTTGGATCATCCTCGATATCCTATTACCTCAGGAGCCACGCTATGCATATTTTCTTGGACTGCTTTCTGGATTTTCATTTTCTTTGCAGCATTTAAATGTTTCGCACACGTGCTGCTGTTCTGTCTGTCCACATCTTGTGATGCAATCTGTTGGCGCAAGGGCCAACGTGCTACTGAGTTTGGCATATGTGCCATCGCACGATCATGCTGTCTCTTTGAACCCCTGACTTCGAGATGTTTAGCCTTATCTGGAGTTGGCAGAGAAATTTTTTGAGATAGGGCTTTATTTCCCACATCAAAAGATTCAGCAATGGATCTCTCTTGATATGGGATGCACTCATTTCCTTGATGAATATCTTGCTGTAAAGAACTGTATCCAGCAATGCTGATTCTTTGACATGTACCTGCAGTCCCATTCAAAGTCCTGGAAACAGATTCCATATACAGATTTGTTGCCGGAGTTTGTGATTGAGGATGAGGTCGTAGCCCAGACGATGACATGCTGGCAGCTACCATCTAATTCAAGTGAGTAAAACTTTTAGGAGTTCCAGGTTGCTGTTGTTAGAAAGAATAAGAAACAAACCATAGCAAATAAAAAATTAGCAAATCATTTAAAGCACACTTCAAGTTGGCTTGGGAAAGCTACACTTACTGTCCTTCCCAGCTATCTTTGGTAACTGCCTTCATCTTTCTGTAAGTTTCCGACCGCAATATGACATTATAAGCTTAAATCAATATATAATTTTTGTAGCTCTTGAAATATCTGAAAGCTTCATTGAATTCCTTACTTCTTTATCTCCTTTTGGCCCTTTGAAGAGGTATGGATCAGCAGTAAGGTCCAGAAAAAGTTTTTTTTTCACATGATCACATTGGTACCATGATAATTGGTAATAAGTATTAGATAGGATCTCAAGGTTCACATTACACAGTATTAATAAACCAGAAACTCACCTGTGTTGATTCTTGAAAGAGTAAAGTCGATTATGGATATATGTACTCCAAAAGGTTTGATGGAAACTTGCTTCCCCTCGATAGTAAAAGGCAGAGTACTCGAGTTAGAAGAATGTTGCCCCTGAAAAAGAGACAAAAATTATCAGTCAAGAGAACCATACTAAGTAGTAAACTATACCAAATTAAAGGCTAGGCATACCAGTGCAGATCTCTGTGCTCTCTAACTCAAAAGCAGCTTCAGAAACAGCCAGGCCAGTGGTGACCTTACATGTGAAACGCATGCTATAAATGTCAATATTTATAATAAACTGTGGTATGCTTATAGTGTAAACTAAACCTCAAGCCTGCAATTAGGAAAGTATATTAATTTGAGGGTCACACTCCTTGCCAGCGAAGTCATTGTAGGGAGTAATGAAAACCATTCTTCCTGATGACAAAAAATTTAGTACATGAGAACTATCAGAATCTTACATTTGTTGTGTATCACAATCTGGCCAAGAGAGCAGCCTGTCCTGGCTATGTCAACACAAACCTATTTCATTGAACTGACTCTCCTCATTGGTTCTATCTCCTTTGTTCCCTCATCATCCTTTTCCAATCCAACAGCTTTTTCAAGCACATCAGAGTGGCGTATCCGACTAATTCATCTCAACACGGCAACACGGAACCTTCTTTAAAAAAAACAGATATGCATTAGTAAAATATAAGCATGAAAATATTTAATGGAAAGACTGACTTAGAATTTTACTGCAGTTGGAAGTTGAGAACATGGGAATTACGTTCAGACACTGTCTAAGTATTGTACATAAACATAATGATCGACACAAAGGCAATAACATGATATATCAAATCTAGTTTTAAGATGCAGAGACATACCTGTATTATATAAATAAGAGAGTGAAGATTTAGAAGCTAGTTTGTATGTTTTTATTTGGGTCCTTCTTAAGTCTTTTTCCTTCGCTTCTGGTTTACCTTCATAAATTCACTATTTAGCTCCATACAATCTCAGTTTACAGGATACCAAGCCACACCTTATGTGAAACATGCAAACAACATATAAAGCATGTGACACATGTGGACATTAAAGAGAAGCTTCGTAAAAGGAGACTTAGTCCGTTTCTTCCGGTTTTCGACATGTCAGCATCAGCCACAACTCCATATGCAATCACTAACTCTATCCAAATCAACGAAGGATAAAAACTAATGAGGAAACATATAAAAATTTTAGAAGGATGAAATGCAAAACGCTAACCTGCGGTCGTAAACGTCACCAAACCATGGACTTGTGAATTTAAGTTGGTATGAAGACAATTTTCCATTGCCATCACATCATTAATCTTCAGATTCATGAGTTGAAAACGGATTCTGATTTTCAAACGTCAAACACAGATCCAAAAATATACAATTTAAACAAATGTAAATTCCATATGCACATGAAGATCCACACAGCGATGCTTCACGACATCTCAAATTTTTTTATATCAGAGAACAAAGCAGAACACTGTAAGATGAAAAAAAAAAAAACAAATATTCAGTTTCATACATCTAAGAACAAAAAAACACACAGAAATGAATCAGATCTTTTTCCAAAAAAGGGCTCAGTTTCATATGTCTAAGAACCAATATACAGGAAAAATAAAGAATATAGATGAACGTAGTATAAGGACCCCCTAATTTATTTCAACAGCTCTACACGTGCCTAACCGCTTCGGCTCGACGTCGTTCCAGTCGAAGGAGGTCAATGGCGCGCTGAACTCGCTCGTCTTGCTGTTGCTGAGGACCGAGAGGGGCTCCGCGGAGAGTGAGTCTTCGTTGATCTCCCAGGGACGGAGGAAGTCGCCGGAGGAAGCGAGGAGATCGTCGCCGGTGGGGAGGCGGGAGGGAGGGCTAAACATTAGCTTCGTGAGAGTGTAAGGGTGGTCGAAGGAGAGGTTACGGAGGGGTTTGACAGACATGGAGTCCAGATCGACGGAAAGGATGTCGATGCGGTGGGAGTTTCAGTCGGGAAAGGAATCTCAGGCGTTATGTGTCTCCGTCGCAGAAATGGAAAGACGATATGCAAATCTTCGATCGAGCAATTAGGTTTAGAAGGGAAATTTTATCTGCTAAATCTCAGAAGCCTCACTTAGAGAATGAAAGAACAGCGGCCGCCTTCAAACACGAAGAAGAACAGATGGATTCCCTATCGGACCGAAACAAATAACACGAAGCCCAACTCAAGTGCACAGCCCATCGTGGCGCTGACGTGGACTTACTGATGTGGCATCTGACGTGGCGGGTCTTAGAAGGAGAGAAACAATGTTTTATATAATAGATGTGTTTGATTTTCCAATGACCAAACACATATAAAACTCAAACATGAAAACATCATAATTTTCTTATGATTATTCATAAAAATATGACAACAATAAAAAACACTAGCAAACAACTATAATATAAAGAATTGTAATAACAATTTGTTTTTAAAGTTCTATTAAGGGAATAAAAAAGATAGACATCTATTGATATTAAAATAATAGAAAATAAGGAAAATACAAAATTCATATATTATTAATTTTAAAATTATCGCTTATTTTTTCTAATTTTTTTTGCTTATTTTCTAAAATTGTCGTTTATTAATAATTTCATGTTTATAAGGAAAATCACTATTAGATATTTATAAGAAAAATCAAATGTGTAGTTATCTAAAGTAAATTATTTATCTTAAACCAATGCCACTACAAAAAAAGATGTGAATTGTGTCAATTAAATTGTATCACAAAATTAAATGATGCAATTTTCAATCATTTATTTGTAAATGATACAAAATGTAGATAATTTAGCATCGGTTATGACAACCGATGTCATTAATAACAAATTTAACATCATTTTGTCTAACTGATATAATTTATCTTGATTAGCGTCACTTAAATAAAACCGATGTTACTATATTAAGTTATATCATTTAAATAAATGATGTAAATTTATTCTGGATTAAAATCATTTATGTAAATGTTACAAATTTTACATCATTTAAAAAGTGATTCTAATAATATATATTTATTTCGAAAATAATGATTAGTATTAACTTCAATTATAAAAGAATGACGTAACTATCTCTTTCTTTGCCATCAATTAAATATAAATGATACTATTTTATCCTAACTTGTATTAGTTAAAATATTTGATATTAAAAAAACTAATTTTCTTCACATAATTGTGGGTATATATATCATTTTTTATCATAATTATATTTTATGTTGATATACTTTGATAAATATATTATAGTAAAAAGATAATAAGAGATTTAAGTTGATATTTATCATTAAGAAAGTATAGGTATGCAAAAAGTCAAAAAGAAATTTCTTACCCGTCTCTTCTAATAAAAAAAGTAACTGTGTCGTTACGTTAAACCCATTCACGATCACAGCTAGCTTCATCACCTTCCATTAGCTTTTGAAAAAAAGTTTGAATAACAAAAGAAAGTAAACTCTCTCTGTTAAGGAAGCTTGTGGTTCAGTCGGTGATATACCATCTCTGGAAGCAACGCAACAACCTAGTCCATAACCAAGCGGTCTTACAACCAGTGACGGTTTTTCAGAGTATAGACAAGCAGCTGAGAAATATAATCTCAGCTAGAAGGTCAAGGAAAACATTCACCAAGCTCATGTCTTTGTGGCTAAGATAGCTTTCCTCTTGTTTTCTTTTTTGTCCCATCTTGTTTTTTATCTAATTTTTGCCAAGATGATTCGGAACTAAGATTTCTACTTTGTAAAATCTTTTGATCATTTATGATAATTTACAGTTTAGCAAAAAAAAAAAAAAACAAAAGAAAGTAAGTTTCTTTTAAATTATAATCAACTCTGTTTTTTTTTCCTTAACACTTAAAAGTGTCTTAATATATCTCTTTCTTAGGTAGAGAGAGTTCTGTCTTTCGGTTTCAAAACTCAATGGTGAGCATCTCAGAAAAATCAGACGTTGGATACAATCGAGGTAATGTATTTATATTCTTCTCCCATTACTTACAGATATGAATTTCGTTGAGTTTTAAAACTCAATGGATGTCATGAATTTCTAAAAGTCTGCTAACTGTGAAAATCTATTTTTTTCAGGTTCTAATGGATAAATCATGGATAAATAAACCACGTTTATCGCAAGATTTACAGATTAGGAGTGAAGAATTTCTTGGATTTTGCATTTGGTAAATCTAATGCACCCATGGTAAAATGTCCATGTACTCGTTGTTCTCTAACCAAATCTAAGACAAGGGAAGATATCGAAGGTGATTTGATTTGTTATGGCCTTTTAAGTTCTTACACAACTTGGATTGTACACGGCGAAGATATATGTGTCATGGGAAATTCAAGAGTACATTCTGATAGTGCTCAAGTTGAACTAGATTCAACTCTGAACATCTTGGACGATATTTTTCCAGATATTAGTGCAAATAGGACTGAGGTACATGAACATGGGTCGTCTGGGCAACCTATGGACACTGATAGACCATCACCCTCAAGTGGAAATTCCAAAAAAGAAGAAGGTTTTGATGAGATGTTTGCTGATTACAATCAAGATCTATATCCTGGGTGCGATAAATTCACGAAGTTGTCCTTTATATTGAAGTTATACCACATCAAATATATGTGTGGGATTAGTGACAAGGGGATATCCATGGTGCTTGATTTGATGAAAGAAGCATTTTCACTTGCCAAATTTCCGGATTCATTTAATGACATGAAAAAAGTCATTCGCAAATTAGGAATGACTTATGAGTCAATTAATGCATGTCCAAATGATTGCATGTTATACTGGGAAGCTGATGCAGAAAGGGAAGTTTGCAAAGTCTATGAGGCCTCTCATTGGAAAGATACAAAGAGCACAGTTTCTGGATCAGGAAAGAAAAAATAGAGATCTCCTGCAAAAATTTTGCGTTACTTTCCCCTAAAGCCACGGTTACAGCGTTTATTTATGTCATCAAAAACTGCTGCCCACATGAAATGGCATGGATCTGCTACTAACAATGATGGTAAGCTAAGACATCCAAGAGACGGAAGGGCTTGGAAGGAATTTGATAAGAAATATCCTGACTTTGCATCTGATCCAAGAAATGTCAGACTAGGGTTGGCGACCGATGGTTTTAACCCATTTGGTACAATGAGTAATAGTTTTAGCATCTGGCCAGTGATATTATTATCTTATAACTTTTCACCGTGGATGTCAATGAAGCAGACATCAATGATTCTCTCGATGGTTATCCCTGGAAAACACATGCCTGGTAATGATATAGATGTTTACTTGCAGCCACTTATCAAGATCTGAAGGAGCTATGGTTTGATGGTATTTGAACGCTAGATGCTTCCACAAAACAAACATTAAAAATGCGAGCAGCTATCATGTGGACAATAAGCAATTTTCCGGGCTTAGGAAATTTGTCAGGTTGGAATACGTATACAACATCAGCTTGTCCACCATGTAACTTTGATGGAATTGGAAAACGTTTACGACATGGAAAAAAAATTGTTTTATTGGTCATCGTCGTTTTCTTCCTCTAGATCATGGCTTTCGGCAGAATCGGGTACATTTTGATGGAAAACTAGAAACCAGATCTCCACCAGCCACATTGACAGGTTCCACCATTATTCATCAATTAGAACAAGTCAATGTTACTCTTGGTAAAAAAGATAATTCTGTGGTAGTTGGAAAAAAAGAGAGACAGAAGTGATTCCAGAAGATCTACTACTCAGCAGTGGAAGAAAAAAAGTATATTTTTTGAGTTGCCTTTTTGGGAATTTACAATGTTGCGACATAACCTGGATGTCATACATATAGAGAAGAATGTGTTTGATAATTTAGTCTACACAGTGTTGGATGACAAAACAAAATCGAAAGATAATCTGAATGCTAGAAAAGATCTTCGTGAGCTAAATATACGTTCTGACTTGTGGCCTGACGATAATGAGAAATATCAAGCTGCATGTTTTTCTCTTAACAATCATGGGAAAGACATTTTTTTAAGTGTCTTAAAGAATGTTAAACTGCCAGATGGTTATGCTTCGAACATATCAGGTTGTGTTGATGTTAATAATCGAAAGCTATCAAACTTGAAAAGCCATGACTGTCACGTGATAATGAGAGATTTATTTTCAGTCGCAATTCGGAATCTGCTCCCTACAGATGTGTCATCAGCCATTGTCCAGCTTTGCCTATTTTTTAGAGATATATCTGCAAAAGTCCTTGATATAGATGAGCTTGATAAATTACAAGACCGTATTGTGATGACTTTATGTCGTATGGAGATTTTTTTCCTCCATCGTTTTTTACAGTGATGGTACATTTAATAGTACATCTCACAGAAGAAGCAAAACTTGGTGGACCAGTTCCATTTCGTTGGATGTATCCGGTTGAGAGGTGAGTTGTTTTTATTATATATAATTATTTTCAACCCATATATTTTATTTTAACTTGATGATAAGGTATTCTAAAAAGGATAATTACCATTAAAATAAACTTACAGATTTTTGTAATTATAATTAAACCAATTTTTTATTTAACCTTGCAAATAAGATTCTGGGAAAATGAATATTACAATTAAAATAAAATTGTAAGAAGTCTTTTTACAATTTTAGATGTTTAGTATTTTTAAACAGAAAATAAAATTAAATACTTATAAGAAAAATATTTTTATAATATTTTAATCTGTAGGAAAATCGTATTAAATATTTTTATTATTTTAAACCCACGTTTAAAAATATTATTTATATGGAAATATAATTTTTACTGTTTTTAAAGACTTTTGAAAAATGGAAAATAAACTTTTTAAAAGTTCATATTTAAGATTTTTTAGTAAAATTAACTATTAAATTGATTAATTTTCAATTTTTTAATTTAATATATTTTAATAGAAAATACTATCAAATACTTTTAACTGAAATATTTGGTAAATATTTTACAAATGTGACCAAATTTATATTCAAAT